GCTTCCTCCACTCTCCCCCTGGAGGTTTCTCACATATTTAACAGTTATCTTCCTTCCCATCTCATATGCACATCTAAGGTAGGGACAGTCCTGGGGTCAGCTGGGCTGCCCTTAGTGACAGTGCTCTTCTTGTGCCTGCTACTCTGATGTCTCTGCTGCACCACCCTTGTCACCATTTCTTTCACTCCAGCTCACAGTACTGAGGATGGATGCTGTAGGGGGCATCTCCAGACTGGCAGTCATAAATGTGTTGACATGCAGAATGTTTGGCTAACATGTTTCCAACACCTAGCAATATATCACTTGCTCTCACTCAGCAGTACTCCTGCTGTACAAAGTAACCATCCAGAAAGCAAAGATGCTTAACAAGGCATGTGGTTTATAGCAGCATTTCCACGTGGCTTAGACACATTTTGAATTTCAAATCAAGCAAGGGTGTAGTGCTGACGGACACTTCAAGCAAGGCATATTTTTGTTGCCTTAGTGGGTAGGTGTTTAAATACAGTTACGTGGTTTTGTACTGCTTGTGCCCAACTCTGCACATTATCTAAAATTACTGTATCAGACAACTATAATATCGTCAAAGAAGCATCGGTGTCTCCTATACTGCAGTATAGACTACTGGCAGCAACTAATTTGAATTTGTTGCTGGTCGTCCTTTTTATATAATACTTGCATATAATACTTTAGGAATATTTTACCTCCTCTTACTTCTGCCTAGAATTTTTAAAGAGATAAAAGGTTAGGATGAAAGGAGATGGAGGGTCAGGCTTTATGTTATACCCAGTAAAAATGGGGATAGGAGCTTTAGCACAGTCTAGTTTTGGAAAGCTGCTATTTTCTTTCTTCTGTACTTTCAACGCAGCATTTAAAAATGATTCAGATAACATGAGTCACAGTAACAAGCATGGGCTGGATCTCTCTAGCTAGAGGAAGTGCCATAAGAATATGCTATGGACTTCATTGCCTTGTCCCGGATTCTATTTTGGAGAACTGGTGGCATTTGGGATTCAACCATATATGTGGCTGAGTCTACAGTACATACAGATCTGGTAGGTATTAAGGTGCGTCTGTTGTGGCACGTGTGCTGCTCTGGAAAGGGATACATGTCTACGCAAGGCTGTTCCACAAACTGAGATGCTGAGGCCTTTGAACTGAGATTTACATAACACAAAGCCTTTGCCGGTTTCTTTGCACTGAGCTGAAAGAGGCCTAAAGGAACATCTTTGGAATACATTTTTTTAAAGGACAGCAGTTACCACTAATGATGGTTTAACACACAAAACAAAGCAGCCAATAGTGCAGCCACCCAAGAGGCAGAGCTTGCCAACAGCAGTGAAATATGACATAGCACAGATCCACCCCGCTCCTTGAACAGGAGACTGGTAACAGCTGGGAAGTGTTGGCTTTGTGCAGATTCCTCCAGCCCCATGGAGACTGATGAAGAAGGAATCCCCTGAAGTAATGCTAAGAGGAGGTAAAGAGGTGTTCTTCTCCTGCTTTACCATCTCTGTGGTCACTTGGGACTTTTGTCTTGTTTTGCTCCCTGCATAGCTGTAGTCTTCTTGTTATTTAGAACATGCCATTTGCAGTGTTTTTGTGCCACACAGAACAAAAAATCTGGTTTAGCAGTGATTTAAGCAGCCGCTGTTATCTCTGCCCACAGTCAATATATGTAATATTGTAAGAACCTCTCTCACAGTCTCCAAGGACCCAGCTTCTGTCTAAAATCTGTTGCCACTGGGCTTTGTGCCTGAGGGATGGACCTAAAGCTCTTACGTTTAATGGGTGAGAAAGATTCTGCTGTGAATAATTTCCAAGCAACAAGATGGGGCCAGAGTATGATGGAGTCCCACTGTCCTGGAGTGAATACCTCTAGAGTCACAACTCCTTCAGATTAACACATCATCGTGATATTACTATCTCCGTCTTTCACTGAACTGATACAGTAGCTGCAGAGTAGGCCTGTCACCATGCTATCTACTTGACTGGACACTATTTTTCTGAAAAAGGATCTCTTGCTGTAAACAAGAATATATAATAAAAAACTAACTGATATTATCAAATCTCCTTTAAGGAACAAAGGAATGTTTACTGTGTCCCTCTCACTCCCCGTCTTTCTCTAGCATTTGGAAAAGAAAGACACAACAGTATATGTTAGTACAGACTAGATAAATGCTGTGCAAGCCGTCTTCTGCAGCACGGCAAGTCTCTGCTGTCATCTGCTACTTCAGGTCTTAGGAGAAAGCGATCATTTGTAGAACTGGTTTTGTGATGCAGTTCTTTGATGAAGGAGGGTGCTGTCTCAGAAGAGGAGAGGACCTACAACTTTCTCCCTTTTGAAAACTGGGCCAAAGATATCACCAGAGCCACCTGTTCCAGTCAGGAGGCAAATCAGGGTCTCCACACTTAAGCTGAGTGCTCAGGCCTGGGTCCTTAGGGAAAGCTCTGTTGGTCCCAGAAGCAGGAATCTCACTGCAGAAGCAATCAAATGACTTCTTTGTGTAGAAGGCCCTAGAGCATTGTTGAAAATGTGTCCGAAGAATTCAGAAGGATTTTCCCAAGCTTGTTTCATGTCTTCTTTTGACTAGCTACTCCTAATGCTCTGGGGTTTTGCTGGGATTAGGGAGATCTGTTTGTACTCATGGGGGAGGAAAGCAAGGATCACAGCCCCAGGTTTGCCATGTGATAGTTTAGATGGAACACCTGAAAGGATCAACAGATAAGCAAAGGGAAAGGAATGTGTTAGTGTCTTGTGGCACAATTACCTCTTGTCAAGGGGTAAGTCTGGAAGCAGCAAGCCTGATGAAAATGAACTCTGCTTTGCTTCATAGCAGAGCTGAACAAATTACTTGTGGCTGCTGAGATCACCTCCCGATTGAAACAAAGCAAGACTGGAGCACACCTCTTTGACCCGCCGAGAGCCAGCTCTGAAAATGGCATTCTCCTGACTCTCCCAAGTAAAGCATAAGCAGACTGAAAACAAACTGCTCACTGCACTGCCCTGTTACTCATTTCAGCTCGGATAAGTTTCTCCCAAAAAGCTATGTTATAGTCTAGAGCACTGTCGTCCTAGATCAGTACTGGACTTCTCCCAAATACTGCATGAATGTCTCCTAATGCGAAAGGGGGAAGGGTGAAAAGGTCCCGCTAAGAACAGTTTGGCTGGGCAGTCTATTGGTTTGCATCACTGTTTGCATCTTACGTGAGTAAAAATTATTTTGTACCCAAAGACATCTTCTAAACCTTGCCAGACTCCAGCTCTCCCCAGTGGTCTTTTGGGTATAAGCACTGAAAGCCAAGGCACTGAGGAAAATGTCAGCAATAATAAGCAACCAGTATTGGCAGGGAGCTGAAAGGGTTTTTGGTGTTCAAGGCACCTAAAGCTTGAGCTTTGGGGGGGGGGGGGATTCTGCACCTCTGGGGTATTTCTGAGTGCTGCCTTGCTCTGTTACATTGTCTGATCCACTCTATCAGAGAAACGTTGCCCCTGCGTTATCATAGGTTTTTTTTTGTCTGAAAGCTTTCCACCGTGAATGCCAGCACACAGGAATTACAAAATGACTGTCGTGATGGTGATCCTTTCTTTCTCCACATCTCCTTTCAGCTGCCTTTTCTGCTTTCTATTCAGGTTTGTTGTGACTTTTTTACCCAGAGTAAAATGGTCTTAACCCATATGTGCATCTGTTCTCATACCACTGGGGCGTTAGATTACATCCTTGCTGTTTGATCCATCTAATGTCCAGTGAAGTCAGTGGGTTTTTTTTCCTAGATTTCAATGAACTTCTGGTTGGGTTCTTAATAGCAAAGTTGCATATGGGCCCATGATGTACCAATGTAGCTGATTATCTGTCACTGATTATAGAATGTATCCTCCCTCCTGCAAGAGGAGACTTTGGTGCAGCCTATGTTTTGCAGAACACCATGATCTGACTGAGAGGTAACGGGCTTTGCAAGAACCAGAACACTCAGTTCCAGAGTATCTTCTATGATGAAGGCATGGCTTGCCTCTGCTGTCTGGTCCTCTTTCTCCCTAATGCGCCGCACTGGAAGCTGCTTGCCTGTTCCCTCAGGAGAGCTGTCTGTATGCATGTGTATCCAGTAGTGCATGAATGTGGTTGGTACCTGCTCAGGTGAAAGCACAGCAGAAAAGACATGGAAGGCAGCAAAGGGGGGAAATGGCTGTACTGGTTGCGAATATTTTGGAGTTCAAAACAAGGACAATGAAGGGAAACAAATTGCAGTGGAAGGATGCCTTGCAGCCTTGCATGACAGCTTTTAGTGCTGGCCTAATCTGCTTCTGCTGAAGGAAGTACAGCTTCCACTTATCCTTATGGGAGCAGAGTTAGGCTGAACACTGAGTGACGCTGAATGCTGTCTCGAAGAAAATCCTGTCTGTTTGATGGCACTAGGAAATTTGTCCCAGTATCAGTTGGGTTGGGACTTTACTCAAAGAGCTGTACTCCTCTTTTTCTCCTGAAACCCAGGCCTTTCATGATTGACTAACCCCACATTTTACATTTCTACACTATGTCTAAGAATACTTAAAGATATAATCTGCATATGTTAGAGACCTGGAACATTTTATCTTCTTGGAACTGACCGGAACCCGTGAGATTGGTTTACTTCCTGTCTTTTCCTGATCATCACATTAATTTGGAAAATAATGTGTTCAGACCTGGATTATCAGAATGAGAAATTCCTTCACGATCTAAATACGCATAAGGCACAAGGAAATGTCCTGCTGGCACTGTTTTTCTGCCGTTATGGTAATCCTCCTCTTTAATTCCTACTTCTAACAACTGCGTTTTCCTGTATTTCCACCACATCTCCTAAATAAACTTAGGCCTGCTGGACTGGCATTATAGGCAGGAATAGCTTTTATCTAGGGAATTTAGTCCTTGTAGCTGGCTGAGGAGATTTCTCAGCAGGCAGTATGTTTCTAGCTGGGTGACTTCTGAGCTGTGCTATTTCTTATTACCTTCTGTTTGTTTTTCCAGGCTGCAGACTCTTGGCTGTGGAGCTGACATCCAGCAACACCAAGCCTGTGGTGCAGGAGTTCCAGAGTGAGTGCTGCGGAGGCTGCTGGCTCTGTAACACAATCACTGCGCTGCCCTCTGCCTGGAGATTCGCATCAATCTAAGCAATTGAGAAAAATTTTGCATGTTGCTCATGGTGTCTGGTTTCTTGGGTGAGGCTGCAGAACAGAGCATTTTGAGATTCAGAAAAGTGCTTAAGAATATGTCTTTGTCTCTGCCTGTTTAGTAAAGCGCTTGATTGATATGGTTTATTGGAGTCCCATGAAAGTCACTGACACAGCAAGGTGTCTGCCTAAGTGCTTTTTTGAACTAGATCCCAAATGGAGAAAAGGGGCAGTCACATTGCAATTAATACACTGAAGAGGAGGCCAGGGAATGTATATTTTATCTTGGCCCTCTTACGGACCTGCAACGTGATACTGAGTAAGGCCACCTCTCAATGCCGCTGCCATGTCCTCTTCTTTAGAACAGAGATGACAGTGCCTACTTCAAAGGGGACCGGGCAGCACGATTCCCAGGTCATACAGGAAAATAAGGCATTGCTCAGTACATTACCAGACACCACTCGGGGAGATTCGGCGGCCCTGACTCACACTGTATGCTCTGATTAGCAGCAAGACAGTGCTGTGGACTCACCCAGTCATATGGTCTTGTTTGCCATGCGTTAGAGCCTGCAGAGAACAGTGTGTTCGTTTCTCTCCATAGTTGATATCTGTATGGCTATTATTTTTGCTGGCCAAAATCCATCTTCCCCAATAGCTCCTGGAACCCAGCAGTGTTTCTGTTTGTGAGGCAGATGAAAGAGAAGGCCTTGCTTTGTGGGCAGTGTCTCCTAATAAAACAGTATGTAAGACTGCTCAAAGCAGAGCAAAAATACAGCTGCTTCCTATTAATCTGTATTTCCTTTATTTTCTGCTGCTAGGTGTTGAGCTGTCCTGCATCATTAAATCCACTGTAACGCCAGATCCCAGAATTGAGTGGAAGAAAATCCGAGATGGCGAAACCTCTTATGTATTTTTTGACAATAAAATGCAGGGTATGAAGATTCTTTGTTCTTTTGTTCTTCCAGTTTTAGAAACAAGTAAGACTGAGAGCAGACAACTCTGTAAAAGAAAGGATCTCTGTCTGTCTGTCTGCTTTCTTCTGAAACTAGAGTTCAGAAATCAAAGTGCACGATGGACAGAGGGCAGAATGTTCTTTGCCCTCTGGGGTGTCATAACTGACACTTTAAAGTAGGGAGCCACAAAGAGCTGGAGCGAGATTCTATGCAGGAAATACTTCTCGGGTGAGGAAGCAAATGCTGCAGCTTCCTTTCTCCAGCGCTTGTTGGCCCTTGCATGGTCGCTGGGTGTCTGGGCTCTCAGGACCACACATGGACCCTTCCTGACCGTACAAAATCTGAGAGCTCCACCAGCACTTCAGAAGGGATCTCTGTCTTGAGTGGTCTGTCTTTGCAGCATCCTGGGAGCATGTGATTAGAAACAGACTCATTGGCTTGACAGTGAAACTCAAACACAGGACTGCTGGTAGGGCTTGTCTCCACCTGGAATTACTGTTATAGTAATTCCAGTACTATTGTAGTGGTCACACTGTAAATGGAACCAACAGCCACCTCCAAATGAATCTTCCAGAGGAGACAAGCCCTGAGGCTGTCATGAAAGTCAGATCTTGCCACAGATTTTGAGCACAGGGGTGGTGCTTTCCAGTTCATCCTTTTCCATGGTTAGCAGTGTTGGTTTCCTTTGTTGTCACTGTGGAGAGGAAGGCTCTTAACTTAAGAGCAGAGTTCCTTTCAGGTGGTTCTGTTGACTCCAGAAAGAGCCCAAGCTCAGCCACTAACTCAGATGCCTAAAGTTAGCCTGTGTGACTAGCCGCAAATTTCTCTCTCTTTCCTCTCTTGCAGGAGACTTTGCAGCTCGTGCAGAAATTCTGAGTCGGACGTCGCTGGTGATTAAAAACACCACCCGGATGGACACTGCCACATACCGCTGCGAAGTGGCAGCACCTTCTGATACTAAAACCATAGATGAGATAAATATCCAACTTACAGTCCAAGGTACCGCCTCAGGCCCAGATACCTCTGAAGGCACTGTTGGCTAATGAAAGTTGCTGTGGGTCTCTTCAGAGTTGAAAGAATGGCACTCAGCAGGCTCTGGAACTTGTTTAAGGCCAGCTGGAAACAGCTGAAAGTTTTGGTGCCTTTGTAGCACAGACAGCTTAGAATGTATGTCAGAAATTATTTAGTTTACTCACCAGTATGATTCACATTTTTTTTTGGCTTTCCCACAGTGAAACCTGTGACTCCTAGATGCATAGTGCCTAAAGCTATACCTGTTGGTAAGACAGCCTCACTTCACTGCCACGAGAATGAAGGTTACCCAAAGTCCACTTACAGCTGGTACCGCAACAGCGAACCTTTATCACCAGATATGAGATCGAATGCCAAATTCCAGAATTCCTCCTACACCCTTAACCCCACCACTGGCACTCTGGTAATGCCCTTGCAGATATAATCAAGACTTGTGTTGCTGAACAGGTTGAATTTTAGGGTTGCTTATAAAAGAAAAAAGATTATTTCACTTTGCATTGTATGGCATGCAACGAAGGAATAATTTGAAGGTTAGGTGTTATAGGATCTGGGCGACTTTGGGACAGGAAAGACTAACATGATGGAAGAACATATGTTCCTAGCTGTTTGGTTCTGAGGCACTGCCAGTGTCACTTGCCTTTTTAGGAAGATGGAGGAATGGCCTCCAAATCCCGCTTTTCTTTTTGTGTCTCATGCACCCCCACCCCTAGTTCCTAATGCTCTCTACAGAGAGAGATCCTCATTTTATATCCCTCCCCTGGTGGCTGTCTTCCCAAGGGAAAATGTCTCACAGCCCACTGCAACGCCTGGGGAATGGAGAGCTATGCAGTAAGAATTCCTCCTTTATGCTCCAGTACTGCCAGGTCTCAGAAGCAAAGGATCCCGTCTAAAAGGTTTTTCTCCTTGCGAGTCCCTGAGGCAACTCTGGTCCTGCTTTCTAACATGCTTATACCCTCACGATGCCTTCCGTCTCTCACGTTCTGTTTCCCCTTTTCTCCTCGTCAGGTTTTCCACGCTGTGCACAAAGGCGACACGGGCCGTTACTCCTGCATAGCAACAAATGATGCGGGTTTTGCCAAGTGTGAAGAGCAGGAGATGGAAGTCTGTGAGTGGCTCTGCATACTTTTTGGCAACATTGATTAACATATCATCATGAATATATTATCATCACTGTAGGGCAAGGGGGACATCCTAGAGCATTCAGTCTTCCCAGATTTCTGATAGCCCCAAAGACTAGGTATTTTCCAGGAGAGTATCAAGACCAGTTTCTGCATGGCATTTTCCAAGCAGAATAGCATCAGATGAGAAACACTTGAAAAATGAGATAGCAAAGTCTGGAAAGAAAACCTCACTAAAAGCTGGTTATGCTGAGTCAGCAGGCACCCTTGGTATGCATTACAGAGACAGTACTGCTGTATAAATCACTATCTACTATCTACAGTGGTGAGAGATTCCAAGAGCATTTTAATATCTAGATAATGCATACAGTGATATCCTAACTGTTCAAGGAAGAACATAGACAATCTTTACTACATAACTGTATAAAAGGAATTTTTGCTTACTTTTCTGGATTTATAAAATAGTAAAGTTGCCCTTTGGTGTGTTACGGATCTGAGTTTCCTAACACCAGTACAGTCAGTCCCTATTGCTGAAATATCCTTTTTAAAAGAACAAGAGGAAGCCAGAGATGAGAGGAAGGAAAAAAGCAATCTAAAAATCGAGGGAAACATTAAAACACTGCTCAGATTCATTACCAGGTTTGTCTCAAACAAACATACAGGGAACAGAATGCGACCAGACCTGGTACATGGGATAAAAGAGAGGAGAAAAATTTTAGTCTTCCCTCTTCTGCTAGGCCAGAACAGAAGCTCTCTTCACTCTGGAAGCAGTCCAAGTCCTTCCTGAGTGGAGTGAATCAGGGACTGACCAGATCCTTAGGAATTCTTGGTGTTTGTTTAGAATAGTCAAGAGGTATGGTTTTAGTGTGTTTGTGTAAGGCTAGGATATTGCAACTGCCTTAAGGAAATACTGGATGATGCTTTCTCTCTTTGCCAGATGACCTCAATATTGGTGGGATAGTTGGTGGAGTCCTGGTGGTCCTTGCAGTTTTGGTGCTCATCACTTTTGGTATCTGTTGTGCCTACAGAAGGGGCTACTTTGCAAACAGTAAAGAGACTGGGGAAAGGTAAGCTGGGATTCAGAGTGGTCTTGGTACGTCCCTGTGCCCTCGCCTAGCATGAAGAGGTCTGAAAGGGGTCAGAAATTCATGGCTAAAATGTGTTTCAGTGCCTGACTAGGACATATTTCTTACTAGTCCCCTACCAAAGACTACAGGCCAACCCAATTCCTGAACTATCCAGTTCCCCACTGTAAACACTACACCATGCTGAAGGCTTATGTGCCTAAGGGGGGAATTTTGGTATAGCTCCTCTTGTGGTTGCTGCCAAGACCACACAGAGGAGTGAGAGCTATGTCTAATATGCTCATACTTTGTGGGGGCGGGAGAGCACAATTACGTGCACACGAGTGTTTGTTCAATAGCAATGTTGGCAATACAGAGGTCTAGGCTTTAATGAGCAGAGTACATTGCATAATCAGCTCGAAGCATTAGGACAGGCATAGAAAATGCATGTGGAAAAGTAACCTCTCTGTAGGAAATCTCACTAGTTGTGACTGGGATTCAAAATGAGCATTATAGAATGTGCACTGGAATGTTAAAACAACAGCATTAGCATTTCAGGTGACAGTTTTTGCATGGATCAGAAACAAGCCCTGATATCCTTACAGAATTTGTAGAAGAAATAATATACATAAAACTAGGATTCTCACCAGATAGATTTGTCTATGTTAAATGTTTTATTTCGGCAGGAGTCCAATCTTTTTTTTCAGAGCAAACTCCAGTTACTCTATCTGCATATGACTGAGGGTTGGCATATGCTGGACTTTACAGTCATATATAATTTCTAAATTCCTATGTGATTGCAAACAAGTAGCGCTTCCTTGTCTCTAGGCAAAATGCTGAAGGCATCTGGCTGTGAAGGTGTAAAATGAACTTTGGAATTGCCACAAGATACAATGCTAGAGGCACACAGGAAGGTGCTGCATAGGGGCCAGAGCAGGAGAGGCAAGAAAAGTATTGGTTAAAGTCTTTGCAGAGTTACTGCAGACACAAGCTTAGTATTTCTGGAAACACAGCAAACTTTTTCCCCTGTGCTCAAGGGCTCTTACAGGGACTTCAAAAAAAATCCCTCTCATGGTGAATGGTAGAAAATGCACAGATCTAGCATTTGAACAACAAGCTGGATTTCTCTCTGCTTTCTTTTCATTGGTCTGGTCTTCCTATATTGTCTTCTTTCATCTCCCCTCTGAAAACCTACAGTCTTCTTGTCCCAGAAGTGAGATCTTTTCCTTTATTTCAGCTACAAGACTCCAGCAAAACCTGATGGCGTTAACTATATCCGAACAGATGATGAGGTAACAAATGATTTGCATTTAACATCTCTTTATGTAGGAGAGGAAGAGAGTAGGCAAAAGACTACTAGCTTTTTTAGGGTATGTAGTCTTTCTTGGAGTGGGCACTGCTCAGAAGCAAGGATGTGGAACAGAGAGAAAACAGAAGGGTAAAGGCTGAGTCATTTCCTTAGAAAAGATGAGCAGTTTAAGTTGTCTTAAGTGACTGCTGCCAAGAGCTATCAAATGCAGCTCTGCTCAGTCTCAGTTACCTCATGACTTGACCCCCTTAGGATGAGTTTCATTGGATTAAGTGGGCAGGCCATGATGCTTTTGTAAGAGAATTTGCATTTTGGGATTTGAATAGCTCACTAAGCTTAGGATCAGAAAAAGCCTTTCTCTATTAGCAGAGATGCTGAAGAAGGAATCAGAAAAGTCCACTGCTATGTCTTGGTATGTGAGGAGAACATATGTGAGGAGGCAAAGGAGCACCTGACTGGTATGACTGGTGTCTCCCCCTCCTTCCCAGCTGGAAGGGGGTGCTCCCTAGACAGAATGCTCAAAGTTACATGGATAGGATTTACCTCTCAAGGGCATGTTCCAGTTGAGGGTACTAGGAACAAAGAGGTGCCTGGAAAGCCGTTAGAACCTTCCAACATCCAGAACTGTTTTCTTGCAGGGTGATTTCAGACACAAATCTTCATTTGTCATATAAGATGCCAAAAGAATATTGCAAACCAGCAAAAGCAAGTGTGAAAATACCTCCTCCAGGAACTCAATGCAAGAGCAAAAGATGAATTAAGTGCGCTTGGAAGAGTTTGGAACACACAAGAACTTGATAGATAGCTATCTGTATATCTTTTTTTTTTTCTTTGCCAAAGTTTAAAGTAACTCCTCACTGCCCAACCTGCATCTCCCCTGCCTCTGGAGGTACCGACAAGATCACCTAAACCTCTCCTTGGAGAGAGAAAGTTTTAATACTTCTCAAGAGACTGCTGTGGAGGTCTGTGGAACTGCCTCCTCTTTGTGCTGCAGGGACACAGACGCAATGTGCAAACCACCAGGGAAGCAGCTTTAGGTAAATGCATATCTCAACCTGGTAGACAAAAAGGGTGCTGATATGGCAATAAAAAGGCTTCAAAGAATAAGATTTATCCATGCAAGGGGGAGTCTCTCTCAGCAGCTTGCTGCCCAATCACACATTTGTGATTGTCTTGTGCTTTTGACTCTAACTGCTCAGGTGCAGAATGGGTATCTGAATAGTTTACAGTGGCAGATACTGAAGTAGTAAATGCAACTAATGTTCGCAGCCCTTTTGTCAACTCTCTTTGCTCCTTTGAACATTAAACCTGATATGGGCAGCATCGGTCCAGAAGGATTGATTCTGTTCATTGCTTTATAGAAAACCCATTGCACGCAGGTAACCCCTAATTCTAATCTGCACAAAGCAGGCTTGCCTCTTGCGTCTTTTGGTGTTTTAAAGAGGCTTACAGCGGAGGTAGAGAACCTAGTGCTAAGACATCCCTTTCAGGAAAATTAAAGCCAAATACTTTCATGGGCTAAGATTCCCAGAAAAGGTACTGAGATGTCTTCAAGCTTTTTTACCTTCTCCATTTATTTTGTAAAATCCCACATTCTAAATTTTTTGCAAAGATATATTTTGATTACTTCAGAAAAGGTAACATTTCTATTTAAAGTGTAAATATGTGATGCCAGCAGTGTTTAAGTAATGTAGCTATTTTTTTACTTTTTAAGCTACAGAGAGGAGCTCAAACGTTGCTATAGTATGGCACTGTCAGAGCATATCAGTATTATTGCAAAGTGTAATACAAAACTGCAGGTGGAACACCATCTCTTTCCTCTTAAGCTAGCTTCAGCAATTTCCTTGTCACAAGAGGTCTTACAAGACACAGAGTAGAGTCACTCAGGGATAGTTTTTGTAAATTTATGGCAGGAGCTATCAACTTTTTATACACTAAAATTACCTTTCTTGCAAGTGACCAACACTTTGTTTTTGTTGTTGCAAGAAACATCCAGGGATGGCTTTTTGGATTCAGTTCTGACAAGGTGACAGAGTGACTTCATATTTGCTACCCCCCCCCCCAAAATGTTTGCTAAAGCGCTAACACAGTTTGTGACACCTATGCCAGCTTTACAGGTTCAGATTGCATAGCAAAGGTAACTGTTTCTGGTGTTGGGAAAGCAAAAGCTCAATATAAAAGCACTTTTGTAGTGTCAATTGCAACTTTTCCCTAGACAGTAAAAGAAAAAAAAACCCATTTCTCTTAGCTTTAAAGCAAATAATTGGAATCCTTAGTTTCCCAGAAACGTATACGTTGATAGTGTTGAACAGCATTGGGTACTGTAAAAATGCAACACGTGGATGCAACACTAGAACTGTACTGTGGTTTAAGAATGTTTTTTTTTTTTCCAAAATGTAGCATAATTTAGTGTTCTTGTATTTCCAATATGAATTGAGTTGTCTTAACTTTTCATGCATACAGTATTTTGAATACTTGACAATTTGGACTGTCAGTGTTATTTTTTAGTGTTCTGCATTAATCTGCTTTGAACTTTTCACCAAATAGTTACTGTTCCCTAGGGGCCTCGCTGGATATGCCATTGCTGCATTTGTTTTGCCTAAGCACCAGTGTTCACCACTTCTTTTTTTGCTAATGAAAGTAAAAAGATGGGGCAGCCATAACTGTATGTTCTCTATGTAACTGGGACATTACCACTGCTACCTTGCAACTGAATTATGGTTACCTTCTTAAGACATGCTCTTCAACCAAGCCACACAGTATTGTTTACTGTCTGCACGCTGCCTCTAATCATCATGACAGTAGTGAGTGTAACATTCCTTTGCACCTTCTGCATATCCACTACTCCTTTTTTATGCTGCTTTTAAGATACCTATAATAAGGGAGAGAAAGAAAAGGTTTGATTCAGGGTAGCTCTAGGCACTATGGGAGTACAATCTACAGTCTCACCATGAGCTGAAGGCAGCCTTCATGTGAAAAGCCTGTAAGCTAAGAATCAAGACTTACTTTTCAATTCTAAAATGTGACAGTGGCATCTCTAACGAGAGAAGGGGAGATGATCCCCTGATACAACTCATGAGATCTGACTGATGGAACTCATTGTATCATTGTGAATAATATTCAGGTTTGTACTAATGTATTACGTTTAACTTTACCAAGAATGTTTTACATAAATACCAAGCTATAAAGTACGGTTGTGGGTTTTTTTGTTTGTTTGTTTGCTCATTCTGAACAGTCACATTAATGGTAGCCTCTGTTTTTAATTCAGTGAAATAATGGAAAGTCTCTTCGGTCAGAGAGCTCTTTTATCTGTGTTGGCCTGTAGGTTATGGAAAGTCAAAGGCACGTTACTGTCTATCAGTTTATTCTCAAACATTCTTCCATCTCCGGTTCTTCTCTAGAGAAGACAGATTAATGGCCGCAGAAGTAGTCTCAATGCTGCTCAAGGACACAGCAAATACTTCTAGAAAAGTGAAAATCAGGAAATAGACTCAAGTTATGTGCCTATACCGATTTAAAGTGGTTAAAGAATATTTTAAGGCAAGATAGAAGGAACAAAAAGAACAGATTTGGCCACAAGTTGCTATGGCTTAAGCCAAAGCCATTCCATTTATCTCCTGTAACCAGGTTTTTCCTTTGATTTTGAGAGTAAAGTTTAACTCACTTCAATGTTTCTTTGTTCTTAGAAATAGAACAGGCAGAGTGAGGGTGAATGCTGAGATGCCAGTGCAGGAGGCAAGTGGCTCCGGAAAGGCTGGGGCAAAAGTACGCTCAGCCTCTTTGTTTCTACTCTTGTGGAAAAGCCTGCACCATTGATGTTGTTCCCACTGGAACAAGACAAACCAGCATGAATAAAACAGACTCCATTTTCCGGTTTCAATGAAATCTAGGACAAGAGATCTGTAATAAAATTTAACAACTGAAAACTTCAGTTAAGTTCACATGGCATCAGAGAAACTCAGGGATGGTCAGATTCCAGCATTTGCACAGCATATTTACTATAAACAAATTTTCTGGAGAGAGCACAGAAAGCTATGCACATGACTTACCAACCTCGATTTCAGTGACAGTTACTCATATCCTGCTTTCAGTCAAATAAGAGTCTATACTTAAAAGCTGCTGGGTCCAACACTAATTGAACAGAGTGCCTAAGATACCAGCGGCGTAGTGGAAGAGGCTTTGAGGCTGTAGAAATCTATAGAAAAAAAATAATTTCTCTGTCAGATCAAGAAGTGGGGAGAAGCTGTGGGTGGAATTAATTCTCTAAGCATTTATTTTCATAAAATGTTAATAGTTGGAAATAAACATAGTTCATGAATGGAAATATTCCATTTAAAAGCGAACATTGAGGCTGTTCATACACACAGGAGTTTTTACAACCAATAAGACCTGCAGTAGCGTGCAATTACTAGATTTAGGGGTGTGGCAGTGACAAGCTGTTCTACCTTTATTAAAATTAAAGCAACTGTAGTATATCACCAGTAGGGACAACGAGGCATCAAGTAAATAAGCTGAGCCACTCACTTCCCTGCAAGCTGTGATAAACACATTTATTGCATTTATAGCACTATGCTCTTACTTTTCCAAATGGACAAATTATACATCCTGTGAGTGAACAGAAAGCCTCCTTTTTGTACTGGAGCTTTATAGCACTCCAGCAAGCAGCAGCTTATAACACATACATGCATTAATGCAAGCCTTGCAAGTCCATACTCTGGAGAGTTTCATGTAAAAAACCAAATAAAAATAGATAGGGAGGGACGGAAGGAAGGACATATGTCCACAGTGATTTATAATTACAGAGGAAAGGGACAGATTTCAGACAACATGATGAGGATTCTGTACAAGAGTTCATTGAAAGGATCGGTTGTCTGGTTTCAGAGGAGTTCTCCGCTGGGACCGTCGCAGCGGGACATGTTGCTTGGTTTTTTTCATTGCTGGAGATTCTACTTTCCACTCCCGTGGCAGGGATGGTCTAGAAGAAGAAAGGAGAGCGAACATTTATTTTTAAAGTACTCTGCTAGTCTTTCTCACTGTGACTGCTGCTTCAGACCTGAGCCGAACTTACGGTTTCTCCGGTGATGTCAAACAGATAACATCTCTTGGCTGGTCCTCAGCTTCCTTCCTCTCTGCAAATAATGCATATATTTTCATATTTTAAAAACTGCCACGCATTTGATCGCTTGGGTTGCTGCCCCCTCAGGTTAGAACTGCAAAGATAACTTGCCTGTAGCCGAACCGGGTGTGTGCGTCAAGCTGATGTAACTGACCCCAGCACCGAAAGTCAAGTCATTAATGGTCTCTGAAAGAAAATCCACGTATTAGCAGTCAGCTTGTGATAGAGCCAGAAGGCAAGATATGCTGTAGTAGAACACTTAAGTGTGACAGAATAAACATACCCAGTTCATTGTAGGCACATATGCCTCTCTCTTGTCCAGCCCAGCAGACCTCAGTGTCTTTTATCCAGCATCAAAACTATGCATTGGACTTGTTGGGCCATCTGTGCCCATCAGTTACATACCCCACTTACAGCCTTCCTTGTATGCAGAGGAACGGAAATTACATTTAAATATGGGACCTTAGTCATGAACATCCCTGCCCTAACGAGGTAGGAGAGCCACAACTTCCGCTGAGGCTTAGCCATCTTCCACAACCATCTCATGCTTTGCTGATGGAATAAATCTACCCACGGCCACAGTGCGGGGTTCCTGTTAGCACTCACCTTAGAATCACATTCAGACCAGCTGGTTTACCTAGTGAAGGCAGAGCACGGCGCCCTTGAAGACTGACAAAGTACCTAAGTAGCCCTTCTGTGAGGAACTGCTTGCAGCCAGACAAGAGGAATCATTTGACAGGGAAGCTAGGTAGAATTTAACTTGCCTGAATAGGCCATAGTTGTCAGCTGTCTTTTTGCTGTCATTTATCTCAGGAGAGATGTCACAACACCCGGATTTTACTTTACTCAACTCTCTACTTTATGTTCATGTTTCCCAGAACCTTTCACAAGGAATTAAAGTAGAAAGTGCCTTATAGGGCAGGAGATGGAAATTCTGCTTCTCTCTAAAGACTGGCTGGGTTTGCTCTCAAATTCTTTCCCTGTCCTGAAAGGGCGTCACTGAAACATGTAGTGGAAGCCCAATTTTCTCTGGCTTAGCTAGCCTCTGAGTCTCTCAAGACTGACTTGCAAACATTTTGGCTTTGTGCAGCGTGCCTTAAGAAGGTAATGTGGCTAATGAGGAGTTTATGGGAAAAGACAGAAAGAAAGAAATGGTATCATCAGGTAAGGCTTCCCATGCAATCAAAAGGGCTATCTTTACCTGTGTTTATGTACTACAGTGAAGCAATCTACACTTGCCCAGACCCACTTAGCCATTCTCAAAGTAAAGAGCAGGAGAGATGAGGAGGCCTAAAAAGCAGGGACTGACCGACAGGAAGAACAGTTGAATAGGATGGTGAGAAGAGAGACCACTGTTAACTTGGTGGTCTCTCTTAACTTCTCATGTACAAAATTATTTATTAAGAAATGCACTGCCAAGAGTTTCAGAATGACATACCAGAGAAAGAAAAAAAATTTTTTTTTTTGATTGTCTATAATCTTGAAAGACCCAGCAGCACCATGCAGGTGGCTCAACGTACACTAACTCAAGTGATGATACTGTTCTGTACAGTTTGTCTCCTCATTGAAGGACACATGCTGCCTCAAAGCAAAGCAGGAATTCACAGTCTTAGTACCACTCCAGATTAACATTCTCCCTCTTTCTTCACCATAAGGTGCTTAAAAGAAAGCAGTGCAAACTTCTAGACGGAGATACAGCACTTAAAGATTTCTGCTCTCCAAAAACATACCCTCCAATTTTCTGCACAAAGATCACTGCGTGCTGCTCAGACAGCAAAGAGAAATACTGAGACAGACAAATCTAGCCAAAGAGCGGAGCATACAGGGAAGAGAAAGATGAGATTTTTCCAGTGGATGCGCATCACTACCATTGGCTTGCTTCTGCCTGCTCGTGGATGTGAGGTATTTGCAGACAGCGGCACAGCTGAATGCCCTAGTGGCCACATGCAGTTGGCTCTCCTGTGTGCATGCAGGTCAAGTATTTGCACAGATGTGGGCAAACAGTGCAGTCATACACATATGCTTGTGGAAAAAAAAAAAACAAAAAAAGCCCAACAATTCACAACTGCCTAACAAGATCTGACCTGTCAGACACTCACCTGTACTCGCAGCTTAACTGGAGCTTTCTCCTGAGCAGGGAAAGGAGTTAATCACACGCACAGTCCACACTACAGCGGAGATGCCCTAAAGGAGTTTGGCAGTGAACTGACATAAAGGAAGGAAATCCACTGCTGAAACTCAGCTCTGTTTCTGTTCTACTGCAACTGTCTTTTGTGCTTGTAGGAGAGGGACGCTGTGGAACGCTCCAAGACCGTCAGAAAGCATTCCAATAAAACGTAGCTTTTAGAGGTCAGGTTTTGTGAGATGGTAATTCAGCTGCAGTGGACATAAGCACAGCACATTCTTTTAACTTGTGCATTAGAGACTTCTCTCTATGTATTTCTGCTTTTATTTCCACAGCAGAGTAGAAAAACAAATCATTCCTTCTCCAGTACTCAGTTCAGTTCTTTCTTAGGAGTACAGCACACACACTCAAAAATGACCATGCAGGTTATTAATCTCACTTGAGCAATCTCTTCCATTTCTCACAGATGTCACAGCCCACCGCCTGGTCTGGTAACAGAAGCAGATCCTAGCTCACATGGGATCCTTTGTTTAGACAGCAAGAACCCTCTGTGTTAGAGCTGGAAGGGGCCGGACCTTGAGGACTTCCCTCTGCAGCAGGGTTCTGTAGTTTAAAGCGCTAAGCTGTGCTTCTAGATTTAAAAAGAGTGAGTATCTCAAAGCAACAGAAACCTGCCAACCCGAGGCAACGCATGCTACTAAGGAACCAGGACCAATATGCCTGCTCAGCATCCCAAAGCTGGTGGAGGAAGAAAGGGCAATAGTTCCGTTGCTTCAGCAGCCAGAAACAGACGCTCACCTGCACTGACTCAAAACTGCAATACCCTCTGACATGTAAATAGGGATCATGTTGGATTGTCCTTTCCTACGTACATCGCCCATCCAAGACCTTCACTTTCAGAATGGTTTTTATTTACCGCCGCTTAGATAAACAATCAGTTAACACTGATT